CTATCTTTTAGCCTTTTAAGATAAACCCAAGAGGACTTTGAATACTTCCACTAGATTGCTGTTGACAAGTGCCTTTAACAATCTAAGCTTTCCTCTAGAGTACGGTGGATACCTGATTGCTGCATCTCCTATAAAGCCTTTATAGAGAACAGCTTTCTTGTGACTGAAGGCATCGAATGAGAATTTACCATGGTAAGAACCCATTCCACTTTCACCAACTCCTCCGAATGGTAAAGTGGGAAGTGAAAGCTGCAAAATGTAGGATATGCTTAGATGATGATAGAGCTTTAGTTATAATTATAAACTGTTAAAAATCAAATCGGACTTGTTTATTTTACATGAACAGCTATGTCGTTGACCACTATGCCTCCAGCTGAGATTGTCATGGCGAATCTCTCTTTCAGCTTTTGGTTTTGGGTAAACAAGTATGCAGCAAGTGGCTTAGGTCGAGAACGAATCACGTCAAAACACTCTTCTAAGTTGTTGAGCTGAGCAGAACAAGAGTGTATGTCACACATGAAATCCAAATCGATGAAGCAGAGTCTGTATGGAATAGCAAGTGGTTCTTACCGTGAGGATTGGGAGGAGAGGGCCAAATATTTCTTCACTCATGATCAGGGAATCTAATGGCACGTCGAGTAAGATGGTTGGAGAAATTTTCCTGAAGGATGGAGCAAAAGATTAGCCTAAAGGAAAAATGATGTCGGTGATGAGAATAATAAAAGAGGAACTCACAGGTTGTCTCTGTTCTTTTGACCCCCATAGACGATTTTGTCAGAAACGTCCTTCTCCTCTAATATCTTGGACAGGCGATCAAAATGATTCGAGTTTACTATACGTGACATATCTTTGGACTCCATAGGGTTCTTCCCGTAAAATGCCTCCAGTTCTTGCTTCATTGCATCAATCTTGAGAAGAGAAAAGAGAAAGGAAAAAAGAGAAAGATCAAACACAAAAGTGAAGCAATGATCAATCTTAAGTTCTTAGGCATACCACTTTTGGAGCATATTCTTTTGTTGTCAAGATGTAGTCTGGAGAAATGCACGCCTGTCCATTGTTGCAACCCCATTTGCCTGAAATTATCCGCTTGGCAGTAATCTTCGTAGACAAAAGAACAGTTACATTAGCCTCCAAACAAAGAAAACACACTGCAATTGCCTCTGGATGATAAAGTCATCGTATAAAAAGAGGAAAAAGGAGTATTTAAGTACTTTCAAATTTGTGTCCGAGTCTATAACAACAGGAGATTTTCCTCCAAGCTCCAGGACAACAGGTGTGAGATGCTTCGCAGCTGCCATCATTATGATACGCCCAATTTTCGAACTACCTAACAAAGCAAGAGTTGGGATTTTTAGTCTCATGAAAGAATTCACTTGACGTGCGTTTCATATTTTGTTTAATCTCTACAGCATCCCTAATAAAATCATTAAAGTTGGAAAAAAAATGCTGATCCTTAAGCCAAGGTTAATATGAACCTGTGTAGAATATTTTGTCCCACTTCTGCTCCAGCAGCAGAGTTGTTTCAGTAACAGCACCTTCAACAACTCTCACTGCAGAAGGGTCAAGATACTGTTCCAGTAACTTCGCGAGCAGAGAGGACGAAGCTGGAGCCAATTCTGATGGCTTTAGGACAACAGCATTCCCAGCAGAAATTGCACCAATAACAGGATCAATAGACAACACTTGCAAGAAAAACAAGAAACAGTAAAATAGCATCAGAATCAAACTTAATAGATAAGTTAGAAGGAGAATACAAGTCAATCAAGGGACTCCTTAAACATACGGAAAGGATAATTCCAAGCCGAGATTACAAGCACAACACCAAGAGGCTCGGATACAATCTCTGCTGATGCAGGAAACGTTGTTAGAGAAGTCTTTGCCTGAAAGAAAGAAAACTAAACACAGTAAGTAATGAACAATGGGTTTAACACATTTAAAAATAAACTTTGCATAAAAACTCTATTAAAAAGGACACCTTATCTGGTGCCATCCAATTCTTTAGTTGCTTTAGAGCTAACTTGATGGAGTTTCTCAAAAGAGCTACCTGCACAGGCCGCATAATTAGTTGACTAATTAGCTACTGAATTGCATCGTTCGTTGTTTTATATACTCAAAATGTAATCAAAAAGCTAATTACTTGATTAATGACCAGATTACAGGAATGACAGGAATAGAAAGCTACCAAAGCCGGTGGTAATTTATGTTGGCAACATTTAATGAGAAAGGTCAAATTTCGAAGGCTCTGTGTTGTTGTTGTTCATTGGATGTAAGACTATGACACAAACAAAATTAAGGTACACAACTCAATAAAATACAGGTTGGTTGATAGAATTAATTGCCTACGGTCCATAGGTCAGTATAAGAAAAAAGTTGCATTCAAGTCTGTCTACCTACGCAGTGTTTGTACAAGTGTCGAACCACAGTATCATGGTCACACAACTAGGTGATATCACATTAATGACACCGACCAAAAGTAAGACAATAAGCTAGGCTAGGCCACTGCGATCAAACAAAATCTCTAGTTCAATTTTGATGAAAGACATGTAAAAGTGTTTGACCTCGTAGACCGATGACTCGAGCTCAGGCTTCCCGAGATCGTCGTGGAGAGCGGAGACGATCTCAGTCTCGTGGTTATCGCAGATTACGAGAAGCTTCTTAAGCTGCGAGACTCTCCACTCGTAACCGCGAGTTACTCCGGCATCGAAGCTCCGACGAAGCTCCGTCATCAGGATGTTCGCATCCGCTGCTTCGAAAAGCTTCGCCATTGAAGAGAGTTAGTTGTACACGATTACCTAAGCAACCACCAGGATTCACGGGAGGGAGAGAGAGAATAGGAACAAATATTGAGTTCGGATCCCGAGATGATCTGAATTGATTTTGTTTAAATAGATAGATTTACACAAGTGCCACACCTTGACGTCTGCTCCTGCTAAAAAGAGACAAGTCTCTTCCTTTTAGGAATTGATTTTTTTATACAAAACATGCGTTTCGATATTTATATTTATCTCTAACTTATAAATATAGGAATTTTATTTTTAAAACGAAAATGGATGATATACTTTTTAATATAATAAATTTTTAAAAATAAATAACTATGTAATTTTTTTGCTAACAACAAACAATTCTCTGATTTCAATATTTTTTTTACTGGCATTCATAAATCATGGTCTTATTTCAATATTTATCTCAAATGAAGATTTTTTTCTTTTGACATCTATGTAAAAAAAATTCATGAAGATTCAAAGTGAAAATTATGTATCTATATAAGTAAGAAAAGACTATTATTATCTAATATTGCGTGTGAAATTGTTTGTCCAAATACTTTTTATAAAAAAAAAGAAATCTGACAAAATATTTCTTTTTAAAAATATAAATATAATCAACACAAATAAAATATAATTACCATACTTAAAACAGAAAATTATCTTACGTATATGATTATAATTTTCATTATATAAAGCATGCATGTATTTCAGTCTTTATGGTTATCTCAAATTCATAAAGACGAAAATATATTTGTAAAATGAATGAAACGGAAAATCATTTACTACTTCTGTTCCCAAAAAAAAACAAGATTATTCATTGTTTCACAATGATACGTTTTCTATAATTTTAAGGTATTTTTAGTAATTAGTGTTGATGTGTTGTATACTTTAAAAAACATTAATTGAAAAATATTTGAATTAGTTGAATACTATTGGTTGAGTTATCAAAAAATATTTTGTAAAGTAAATAATAAATTTAATCATAAACATTCATTATATTCTTATGTGTGAATTTTCTAAAAAAATATTTCTTTTAGTAGTGGAGATAATAAAAGGAAAGAAATATGAACAGAAAAGAAATATATAATTTGGTAACTAAAATAAAAGAGACGAATCTCTTACTGTTCTGATTAAAATTTTCTCTATAAAGGCGTTTCTTTATATAAAAGACGTTTTAATATATATCTTTATAAATGTTGAAAAAGAAATTTTCCTTAGTATGGTGTTTTTTTTTGTTTCAAAATATTCAAAATGAAGAACGGTGAATATATTTTTTAAACAGAAGAAATATAGAAAATATTTGTGCGTGTACGCAGATGGCAGAGAAAAAAGGGTGGCGTGTTGGTCTTTCTCACGGAGCATAAGCGAACTCGCAACTCACGTGTGATCGCGTTTCTTGCACGTGCAATATGAGCGCGTGTGATATTTCCTTGTGTTCGGTATGATACTATTGGTGAGAGAGGGTAGAATTTTGACAAGCTTTGGATAATTAGGCGAGACTAAGTGGGTAAGGTTGAGCTACCTGATTTGCCGAAAAAAAAAGGGAAATTATTTTTTGAGAAAATAGTTTTTTTAAGCCAAATAGCTTAGGTCCCCTTAGGTTAATTTGATTCATTTATTGTCTCATTAGGCTAAATATTTCTGAAATGTCAATTCTACCCTTAAATTAGATAGTTTTAATTATTAATTCGTAATTAGGTTAATTAT